TTTTCATTCCGCGTCGCCCTATCAAGCTCTCGCTGGATCCGCTCCTCTGTTATCAACGAGAGGAACGTCTGTTCTTCCTCAACAGGGGGAACAGCCACTTTTTGGTTGTTAAAAAAAGGTGCACTCGTTCAAAACAGTTGCGTTTGATTCCTCACTGGCTGTGCTGATTTAAATCTAGCGCTTCTTTTGTGTTTGTGTCGCAAGTTCAGTGACGCAGGTAGTGACGATTCTCTCCGGCCAATCCGTGATCAGCAGAGTTTATACGTCACGTTTTGGTAACGGTACGGTACGCTTGGAACCCCAACCGAGGTGGTACTAAAAAAAGTACCAGGTACCAGGTACTGTACTCAGTGGAAAACCCCCCAAAAGTGAACCGTACCGAGCCGTACCGTGCCGTACCATGCAGTGGAAAAGCGCCATAAGCTAAGCTAACCAAAGCTATCCATAACTCAGGGGTAAAAATCTTCAAGACAGTGGCCCTCCAGAAGCTGTGTTTGACAGTCCTCCCTTAATTGTACCCTGAAATCAAGTACATCCAGTCCATTTGTACTCGGAGGTTGGAAGTTCCGAGTTCCCAGTAGGAATTTTTAACTGGAACGCCCTCCCAAGTCGGAGTTCCGACTCAGAATCTCTGAGGAATTACAACAATTGGAGCAGTTGGTGTTGGAGCAGGTTGAAGCTAAATTCCGCAAAGTGGTGACCTTCCACAAGTGAGTATTGGAAACGCCTGCCTCAAATGAACTGCTCACAGAAACTTTAGACTTAATTATACATTTAAATACATTTTATATCCCTTAATGAAGCTGCAGATTTTCTTGTCCCCAAGCTAGAAAACTCCTTGTGGAGACCTGAGATTTCCATGGTTTGTGGTTTACCAAAGAGAAAGCCTAACCTGACCCCCACACAAATAATTGTGCTCTTGTTATGTGGATATGACTACACTTTCAGAATACCTTAAATAGTACTTATAGGGGTACAATATCTTGTCACTTGGGCAGTACCCTACAAAGGTACACCTTTGTACCTTACTTAACCATGAAGGGTGTCTTTTAAGGGTACAGTTGCAAGCTCTAGCATTTGTGTCAAGAAAAAACAAATGGAATGCACCTGGTGCATCAAAGTTTGGAATATCACTCAATTTCTGTATATAGACCCTACCTCTAGCAATCTATGAGTCTCATCCTCCCAGTACTTCAGCAGAGCCTCTCGGCTAAAAGTGCCCGTTGGCTGCTTGGCCGTCTGGTCCTCTTGCCTTAGCCCAGTGGGTATGTTCATATCAGGTTCAATTTCAGCCATAACCTTCTCCAGCTCCTGGATTTCCTCATTAGTCAGGGAGGCCAGAAGTTCATCTTCATCGATGTCCTCATACTTGCCAAGCTGTTTGTGGTACCCAAAGTTGCTCATACTTGTAACACTATGTCTCCTTTGTAAGTATGAGTTTTTACGCTGCCCCGATACTTGAATGTGGGATTAGTGCAGGCTTCTGGGCATGTGTTAGATACACTGTTAGTCTAGTCTGGGAAGCTGGTGGAGGAACTTAAGTGGAGGAGGGTGCAGGACAGTGTATCTGCATATGATGGTGTCTCTCTATACGGGACACCAAAATTAGCTTGCAAGAAGAATGTGAGTTCATTTTGTAGTGGTGAGACCTGTCAGCAACTGTTGGCCAAAAATGACATAGGAACTGCCCCTTAGGGATACCACTAAAACTAATCTAATTTGTATTAAGTTACAAGATTCAAGATGCATTAAGATTCTCATGTAACACAGTTTAACCCCCATCAATGCCAACGGTTTTGAAGTTAATAAGCACATACAAGTTTGGTGACCAAATAGACTGGATTTATATACTGCTACCTTTTATGCTCAGCTTGTCCTCCAAAGCAGCTGTGCAGATACCAGAAAACCTCTGGAGCTTTAAAATCGATATTACATATTTGTGCAGTAAGTACTTTTCCCAGATTCTTTTCAAATCCACTGATTGTTGGAAAGTTACCAGCATGCAATATTACAACATTTTGTTAAGGAACCATGTAAACTAGACAGTTCAGGGCCTCCAGAACCAATTAACCAAAGCTAATTGAATATGTGTATAACCTAGCAAACGGGACTCAAACATTGCAATGTCACGATATGCTCACATTTTTTCAAAAGCTATCCATCTGTAACCATCTCTATCAAATGAAATTATCAGATTTACTTGAACAGGCACAGATAAGTATACAGTAAACTATAAATGCCTCTAATGTTTCTGAGAGTTTATCAAAAGGTTAGGTGGTGAGTTTCTGATAATGCATAAGTCAAAGGTTTCTGCTTGACAGGTTGCCGAACATGCTTGTTGATGTTAACAGGGCATAAAGCTATAAATAGATATGACCTGCTTTAGTTACTTCAATTGTGACAATGCAGGTCATTCTAGAACCACAGTTTAGAAGCACTGAGGTGTGACATGCAATCTTTCAAAGGTTTCTGCTTGACAGGTTGCCGAACATGCTTGTTGATGTTAACAGGGCATAAAGCTATAAATAGATATGACCTGCTTTAGTTACTTCAATTGTGACAATGCAGGTCATTCTAGAACCACAGTTTAGAAGCACTGAGGTGTGACATGAGGTTATGTTCATTGTAATAGACACAATAAATACTCCTTGTGTATGTGTTGATAAAGTGCTGTATTAAAAGTTAAAATGAAAACAAATGGAACATCTTGATTGTACACTAGTAGGTGGTACTGAGTGGAAAGCAGTCTGACTTCATAGAACAGGCATCAACCTTTTTATTTTTATCTGATAAAAACATGTTTTTGTCAGATAGAACATTATTTTATTGCACAAATAGCACCAAGACATTGCTTTGGAGCCAAAGTCCTTTGGAAGTGATGCAAAATTCACATTGTAGTGTTCAATGTGAAGTGTTAAAAACACTTAACATTCACATTTTTAAGTGTTTTGAACTCATGACGGACAACTAGCGAAACCTCTGGTCATGTCAACCTCATGTTAATTTGAATAAAACTCAAAGTGCTTTCTCCTTAACTTTTACCCTGAGAGACCATCACTCCTGATACATGATTCGTCCATACAAATCATATTCTTTGTACATCAAGTAGCTTTTCAGTCCTGGTGGGAAAGGACCTGAGTTAATGAACTTTGGGTCACCCAACCTTAGTGGAGTCATCTCTCTCCTGATGGCAAGTCTGCATTGGTGTTGCAGTGAACGAGGATTCCCTGGGAAAGTCATTTTTTTGTGATATGTTGTTATCTAATGCAATTACATCCATATTTTTGTAAGTATAGCTTAAGTGTCCATGCAAGAATTGTTTATGCTACTCACCTAATATTTCTGAAATTTCAGCCCACTCTTTATGCCTCTTTAGAACCATTTTCAGCTTGGAGCAGATGAGAACATGATTGACATAGTCGAGGAGAACCCGCACAGCTCTTCCAGGGAACTGCACTAGCCAAGAGACGCTGATGAAATCACAAAACTACATGCAACAGATGATAGAGACAGAAGTAAAGATACGTATGCCACATATATAGATAAAAAACACATTTCCTTCAGAGGTAAGTAAGCTTAAAATGCATTAGCTCTGTTCCAAAACCTAGTGAGTTACCTTGCTATCTACTGTTTATGATTTTTAACATTTTACTGTTAGCATGTTGCTAAGCTAGCTTTAGCATAGACGTGCAAAGATTGGGTAAAATTTGGAACACTACATAGAAACTGACTTAAATTGAGCCGGAGACTCAACTCGTGTTTGATTTCAGTAGCGTGTCCTATTAGCATGTTGCTAAGATAATGCTGTCAAAGTAGCATAAAGTCAGTTTAAGTTGAATAAAAATACAAATATTGGGTAAAATACTAAAGTTTGGTTGGATACTTTTAAGAATTGAAGGATTTATACACAAAAACATTTCTCTTGCTTTGTTCGCCATCTTGGGTTTATTTTTAACTGAGTTATACATTTGAGAACAAACGTCTGGAATGTGCATACGTTGGCAACTTACTAGGTTTTGGAACAGACATTATGGGTGAACTTACTGGAACCTTCTCACTGGTATGTTCTGAGGAGCGACCCCATGTTGAGTCATGAGGACAACAGAAGCATTTTTCTGCATCATAACCACTGTTTAACAGCAGTCGCATCATCATCTCATCCCTCAGGCAGTATTGTAAGGCAGTGGGAAACTCTGTGTCGTTGACCTCTGTGAAGTAGCAGTTCACATCTGCTTGGCTGGCCAGGAGAATCCTGACAATCTCATACCTCCCAGCTCTCACCGCCACTAGGAGGCAGTGCAGGGGATCCAGGTCCGTTTTGGCTCCTGCATTTAACAGCAACTGGGTGCCGGTCACATCTCCATTGGAGACCGCAAAGTACAAAGCGGTCTTTCGCATATCTCCATACTTCTCAGAAACATGCGTGTCTAGAAGAGCGTTGACGTCGAAACCTCTGTCCACCAGGAGTTCCATGCATCGGACATAGCCTCCATCTGCAGCTGCATGAATTGGGCTCTGGCCTGAGAGACGGAGGGCTCTCCTTGTGGTTACTGGGATTAACATTCTTAAGGCGCTGTAAAGAGAACTAGATTTTAACATTTTCTGAAGAAAATGAGTGGTGGGACTAGTTACTCCATAACCTTCAATGCATTATTTAGGAGTTAGAGGTGAATTCCAATAGATTTGTTGTATAAAGGCAAATCTTGCAAGGCTAATGCTGTCGATTTCCAATTCCAAAGTCCAGTTTAACTTTAGTTAGAGATCGGAGTGATGAAACTAGCAAAGGATTAGCATATTTCGTAAAACTTACAGGTAATGCCCTTTGTACGCTGCACAGTGGATGGGAAGCTGTAAGGAAAGATTAGCGATGTTGGGATCAGCTCCATGTTGAAGTAAAAGTTCAATGCAGTCAGGATTGCCAGAGCCAGCAGCATCATATAGCACACTGTCTCCATTTGGCGCCTGAGCATTTACATCGCCACCTGTTGGTGTGGAGGACATCATGGTTTAGTGTTAGTTTAATATAAATATGTAAATGTATAATGTGAATCTGTATAAACATCCTCATATTTTTTTTTCTAGAAACATTGGTTAACCAGTATTACCATAGTGAATAAGGATGTCCTGCGCCTCTGCTTGTCCGTACTCTGCCGCAATCCCCATGGGCGTCACTCCATGCTCATCTGTCTCCGAGACGTTCCCTCCATGTTGCAGCAGCAGCGTAAGAATGTCAGTGCAGCCCACCTTGGCCGCCTCATGAACGGCAGTCCACTTTTTAGGGCAGGCTTGGTTCACAGATGCCCCCCGTGATATAAGTGTAAAGGCGATTTCAAATGAGTCTGTTCTTACAGCTCCAAAACAAAACACAATAACTTTTTATGAAGGGACTAAAGACACTAAAGAAATTGCAAATGAGACCTACCCAGTAATAAAGGGGATTCATTTTTGCTGTTTATTCTGTTGGGTGAAGCTCCGTGCTCAAGCAGGGTCCTAACAATCTCCACCAGCCCAGCTTGAGTCGCCAAAATCATTGGCGTCTCTCCATCTGCGGTTTCCTCCTCTAAACTCAACCTGTAAGAACCTTTTCAACCAAACCACTGAGTGTTGTATGAACATATCAGACTTGAAACTTAAACTTGATACAGTTAATTTTAGTCATTTTGTTTTGTTCGTTTGGAAAAGAAACAAGCGACCGTTATTTTAAATGAGTCACTGAATTATTCACTCAACCAATTTGTTCAAAAACCATTATTAATTCAGGAACTTAAACAAGTGACTCTTATCAGTCATTGAATCATTTATGTAAATGATTCATTCGGTTTCAATTCATTCAGTGTATTGATCTGAGGCAATGGTTGATTCTGCTGTGACTTTGTTTGGGAATATTTTAACCGGCGGAGCAAAATAGGTCAAAGTATCTTGCAATATTGTGTCCAAAATGTAAGTTACTCAGAATTAATTTCTTGTTTTTTGAAATAGCTCACCATAAAGGACCATCTCCAGCACCTGCACAAATTGCTGGACAGCAGCTCTATGAATTGGGTACCACCCCTTGCTATCCACCTCAGTGAATGCGGCAGGATAGTCTGACAGCTCCTGCAGAGCAAAGAGGTCACCTGTGGGGCCAGATGAAATTACCTTACACTTAGCTAATTATCATCATTTAACAACTTAGTTCAATGAAATGAAATGTGTATTTTCCCTTTAACCTAATTGTTTTACAGCAAGCGTAAAATCTGGTGGGAATTTCACCTCGGAATATTGCATCCAAGATCTTTTGATGTTCCACACTGGATTTATTTGCAGGATAGAAAAAGTGGATGGTAATATAATGTTTACTAAGATATGTTTGCTTTATTTCAAGATTCCAAAAGGCAACTTCTTATGTGAACATCACACCTTCCGAGAGAGGCGATGTCTTTACATGACTCTTCAATGCTCAGTTGGATTGCAGCATCAAGAAGGTCATCGTCCTCATCTAGGTCACCTGATGGATCCATTTTCCTGGAGGTAAATAAAAACCTTTTATATGAACACGTGGGGAGTAATAGAATGTTTTTATTCACATTGTTTGAGATACGTTATAAAAGTCATCTTTGATGTCAAGTGTATTGTTTTAACCAAAACCAAATTCTCAGAATAGTTTAATATGACACTTTAGTCATATAACAGAAAGGTTGAAGTGACCACTCGGTTTCTATAAAGACACTTCTGCTGTAGTTAAAAGGAATTCACTTCGTCTGTCTTTCAAAGTAGCTGTTTTCAGAGAAACACTTACATTTTTACAGTCCGCACAGCCGAACAGGCAGATTTCAACACTTATACACAGCTGGAAACTAACTTTGCGTTAGTTTCAAGGAAATGCTGAACTAGAGCATGCACAACCGACACTTCGTCCGCCACTTCCAATGAATCATTCACACTTCACCGAACAGTAAACAAAGGCTCTAATCTCACCTTGTGAAATACAGTTCCAGTGAAATCACGCGTCTCTCACTGCTGTGCAAGTACTTTAACTACACTCAGTCTGAACTTGAGTGCCCCCCCCACCCTTCCCATGCTCAAAACAGCAACAGACATGCATCTAAATTTGGCGTTCACCTGCTCTGGTCTTTGCCATGCACACCATTAAAGTCAAATGACCACATAATCGCTTGATTTTTTTTATGTGCATTAAAATACATATATTTACACAGCTTGCAAATAAGCATCTGTAATTTGAAATTAATAATTTACAAAATTACCATTTTTTTCATGTTAGTACAGTACATCAAATAACAATTACTGCAATACCACCAATTTGTCAACGTTTGTATACAGTCATACAGTATAAATTTTTATAGCCTTCTATAAATGTAATTGACCCATACAGAGTGCAGCTACTGATATACTGTATACAGTGCAGGCATAACTTTGCAGCTGGGGAAATCCCAGAGTCACTGCATTATAGCCACCATGTGTTCAAAGAATAACTAGAGAAAACAATCTTGGAAAGTCTCGCAGTGGCTTGAAAAAATTCTTCAATTGTCTTAATGTTTAATCTTTTACAAGTATTGGGTAATGTGCTGGATTTCGGCCTACATGGTCAAAACAAGGAATGAATAAAGGAATAAAAACGGGACTTTATGAGGCTGGATTATGAAAGAATAACTACGAATGTGAGCGTAAATATAATTGGAGTTTACAAATTAACAGCATGTTTATAAACAGTCTTCGAAATTTCAGGTTTGGTGATTATGAGTGTTTGGTTTAAAAAAGTATTTAAAAATAGAGGGTGGTATAGGAAAAATAGAGAGTAAAAATGGAAAGAGTAGGATAATAGACAATGACAAAAATAGAGCTTTGTTCTGACTCAAAGCATCTAGAAGGAGTTTAGAATCTGAAACAAAGTATAAATGACAGTGTAGCAGAAGAAACCTTGGTAATAGCACACTGGCACTGTCAAACTGACATATGAATGAAATGACATTTTATTTAATATTCAAGACAGTTACAAAATCACTGTACTATATAGGATTCACCATATTGCATGAATACAATTAACATTATAAAATGCTATTTTTGTTCTAAAACTTAATCCATAAAGTACGAATTTGGTATACAAACAGTTATTGTGTAAAGAAATTGTTACATCAATTAATTTATATAAATGACAATAATGTACAGTACATAATACAATATGTAACATTCAGTGAAAGAACATTCAGACAAGAAAACTTGCATTCATTGTTATAGTTGTATTGATTAAGTCAGATCATATTTCTTGTACAGCAGGTAATTTTTAATCGGAGGTGGAAAAGGATCCATTATAACGGTATTACAGAGTCTTTTAATGGTCATGTGTTTTCTGATTTCCAGACGACAGAGGTGCTTCTGGGATCGTGGGTTGTCTGGAACAAATTCAAAAGCTATTAGTCTGCGTTCCCTGAGACTAGAGAACCATCGATCTGTTGCTAGAGAACAGGTACTATCTTCTCACATGCATTTGGTCATTTTGAGACTCTGAGCTGGAGTTTGCAGAAGTTTCTTCATTTGACCCAGAATGAGAGTCCCGTATGTCATAAAAAAGACTGGCTGAACAGATAAATAATTAAATGTGAACCCAGTGAACTCACTCAAGATGGTGTATATCTCTTCCCACTCCTTTTGTTTCTCCAGATTGGATCTCAGACGTGAGCAGAGGGGGACGCGGCTGACATAGTCCAGTAGGATCAGTACCGCTCGTCCCAACAGGTCAAACAGGCAGCACAGACTCATGAAGTCACAGAACTCTGATGTAATAACAACATAAACATAGCAATTTAAATGTCATAATATTAATTTAGTAATGTAAAATAAATGGTAACACGTACAATAATGTTCAGTTAGTCATTGAACTTGGTATCATAATTAACACTGAATAACATTTTTGACAGCATTTAATATTCTAGGTTAATGTTTATTTATAAATATTTGTTCATTCATGTTCGTTCATTAATTAATATTCATTTGTACAACTTTAAATGTTAAAGTATATATGTAGAAATTTTAATTAACCCAGATTAATAAATGCTCTAAAAAAATGTCATTGTTATTTTGTGACAGCTAATGATAACAAATAAATTTTTTTAGAATATATTACTAAATAATTAAATGTTCAATTATAGTGTCTTTATTCTGTTCCAAAACCTAGTGGGCTGCAACCATTGATTGCTATATTGAACGGAAAGAGACTGAGAACTACAGTCAGCTGAGGTGAGAAAATGTATTGCAAAAGTAACATAATCCATTACTTTAACACACTATTATAATGCATTACTTAATTTTGAAACAAACTTTCCCCAATATTGACAGTTAGACACCAACCGAAAGTTGTTCATTTCCGATGAGAGGTGGTGCTTGAGGCATTTTGAGTGAAAGTGACCACTAATGCCACAAAGATCAAAGTTTATGCAAATGAGCAGGAACACAATGATTGGCAATAGGAGAAAAGACATTGGAAAGGACATTGTTGATGTCATGTTGCAAAGATAATGCCAAAATACACTAATAATCACAAAAAAATATGTAGTGCACAAAATATTAGGAGAAGCCGTCTCATTTTAAAGGGTTAGTTCACGCAAAAATTAAAATTCTGTCATTAATTACTCACCCTCATGTTGTTCCAAACCTGTAAGACCTTCGTTCATCTTTGGAACACAAATTAAGATATTTGTGCTAAAGTCAAGGCAGGCTCTCCATTCCTACCTTTCTCCTTCAAGTTTGGCTGGCTGGAGACTGTGGATTATATGATTATCAAATATCTCAAAAAATATGTATGTCTGACACAGTCTCAATAACTTATCCAACCCTTACATCAGAATTGTGTCCATCCATGTTCAGGACTCTCCCAGAATTGCCTCCAGTACTTTCCCTGATGATTGCATGGCGGCTCGATGGAGCGGTAGAAGTCCTCTACTGTCAGCTTCCTTGAAGGCTGAAGGAAATTGCTTGAGCTCACGGATGACTACAGTATGACCTTATGATCAGGGGACATAAACAGATTACAAAAGTAAAAGCTTTGTTCAACACCACATTTTAAAGCATCAGCTTGATGAATCCATTTAGTAAATTTGGAAAAATCTCACTGTAAAAATTAAAATACTTGCAGCCCAATTAGTGGTTCTTAAGATTATAGTTACACTGGTGGAACCCATTGGAGATCTCTAGGCTCGTTTTAAGAAAGGACTATTTTATGAGGAACTTACAAGATAGAGATCACAAGTTCCTGCAAGAACTCAAAGGAACTTGTCATCACAACACCATTATATGGGAAAGACTTGCAGCAAGACTAGCGCTTGAAGTATATACTTGAGTACACTTGAGTTACTTGAATAGGACGGGGTGTCCAATTCTGCTCCTGGAGGGTCACTGTCCTGCAGAGTTTAACTCCAACCCCAATCAAACAAACCTGAACCAAGATAATCAAGGTCTTCATGATTACAGGCAGGTATGTTGGGAAAAGTTGGAGCTAAGCTCTGCAGGATGTTGGCCCTCCAGGACCAAGTTTGGAAACCCCTGCAATAGGATATTTGAGGGATCTTCAGAAGGGTCCTGAGGTTCTTCAGGGGGTTCAGCAAGTATGGCAATCTGAGGAACCTCAAGCATCTTTTCATGTTTATGGTGATAGAACAGAAACAAAATAGTTGAAGGCATTGATCCATTACCTGTCTGGATTGCTGCCATCAGTTTCAAATTCTCATCACGGGCGGAGCGTCAAGAATATAATGTTCTGAGAGAAAGTATTGCTTTTTGCTATTTTAAATATTCAGTTTCCATAAAAATGTACATATAGTAAAAAAAAAAAAAAAAAAATCCATTAATCAGTCAAACCAATGTGTTCGTTTAGATGTTTTTCGATATTGCAAATGCCTCATGATAAGACTCTTCAATGCTCAGCTGAATGAGATAATCGGTGAATTCATCTTCATTCATCTTGTCCCACATAACATGCCCATCTAGAAAATATGTCCCATAAATCAAAGAGCATCAGTGACTACTGGAGCTAATCAGAGCAAAGAGCAACAAAATTAGTTATATTTACAAACATGAACCTTTCAGTAAGCATAACTGCAGGCTCACCTATGTGACTAGACTCATCGAGGTCAATTTTCTAACCACCAAGTTACATGTGCTTTTATATCTGACCATGACCTGCTTTCTTTGCCAGTGAAATGCCATGCAATAAATACCATTCCATTAGATACAGTCTGTTTCTATTGTAGTCACTTTTAGGCAACACACCTGAATAAAATATGTTGTCATACTCTGGGAAGTGATATCACATGAGAGAATTCACTTTTCTATCATTTATTCAGTTAAATGCCCCAAGATACCCTAATCTTAATCTAATTTGCACGCTGCAGCATTGTTTGTTTTTCATTATCACAGAGGCATATCAGACACAGCAGGGGGCAGGATCAAGTGATTTTTCAGTTGGGAAGTCACAATTCATTTCAGTGAAATTATTCATTTGGACGGGATGGTTCAATGAACTGGTTCCAAAACGAGTGCAAATTATTTGGTCCCCACAGGAATTTGGTTTCTTATTGTTTATTGTAAAGCTGGTACTTTATGGCCGTTTTATTAGATTATAAGTGCCATTGTTAATTTTGTTAATATGCAATAACAAAAATGCACCATGGTATTTTTGGACAAGGTAGGCCTACCATGTTTTTTGAATGTATAGTACCGTAGTAGCACAATAATTCTTTGGAGAACCCATTAAATACCATGGTACAGGGATATACTAATAATACGTACGAATATATGAAGGTCCTTTTTGTAAGGGTAATAAACCAATTAACCATCTTTACAATTTTTAAATGCTACGATTACAAACGCTTTGCGAATCGGTTCGACCGAATCTTTAAAAAGAATCGGCTCAAGAGGATGACTCATTCGCGAATCGGACATCCCTAGTGGCACCATGGTTACCATAGCAGCGGTCAAACAATTTCAAGTCAGTGTAAACCTAGGCTCGACTCATTTATTTTGAACGTTAAAATAAAAATTTCGCCGTAAAAAAAAATATCAGATGTAATCGTTTTATGATTGAACTGTATGTTTTAAGCGTTCAGGTGTGAGAAATTTGCCATGTCAGAGCCGATCGTGGAAAATTCTGACATTTCTGAGAATAAAAGAATACACTCATACTGTAGAGGTGAATTCAGGTAAATCGGGACACTTTTTGGCATTGAGATGACTTGGAAAAAAATGGCCCAAATATTCTAACCTATAATGTTGCCAATTCTCGCTGATCATTTTTAGTTATTTATTTCTAGAAAAAAGTGTGGATGATGACCAGACGCTGATGGACATTGGCGTGCAGCCTCATGGGATGGTCCAAATTGAGATGAGCTCGCTAGACCCAGAGAATTACCCCATGAGACCCATCAAACCACAGCAGGAGTACAACATGCCGGATGTCATCACTGTCAGGGTGCAAACAGGTACAAACAAGGTTACAGCTGACTAGCGCATCATGAGGATAGACAAGCCTTTGTGTGACAAGTCTCTCTGTTGAAGACACAGACTCGTATCAGGACGTGGTGGTGGAGATCGAGAGAGTCACTCGAGGGAAAGCGTTTCTGGGAGGATACCGTCATAATGTGACCAAGGCGGAGTATCATCATGCTGCTGTACAGACGATGCCTAAGAAGAGGCCTGACAAGGGTGTTGAGATGTTCAGCAGGGATACACAGGTGTGCACACACACACACACACACACACACACACTATACGCCCTATAAAATGGATAATTGCAGTCTTGGATGCTGATTTCCACTATGCGAAACCCCTTAGTGAATGACACCTTACACCGTAATAAAACACTTTAAATGAACAGAACTTTCATCTCTTTGCCTCAATTTTTATTTGCATTAAATTAAAGGAACTATCATTTAGTGGATAAATGGCATATAAAGCATTCGCTTATTAAAAATAACTATTTAATTCAACTTTTAGGGCCAGATTTACTAAAAGCTTGCACCATCTTTTGGTGTTAAAATAGTACTGTCAGGATTTACTAAATTTACATGGACAGTTATTTTGCACTCGTCAAATTACTGCTACTTGCGCCATTATTTAACGCCCCCCAAAAAACATGTCTTAAACTATTTTGTGCTTGAAATGGCAGCATTTGCAGAGAACAGAGAGCGCTTGGTAAAAGGGAGAGGATTTTTTCCACACGTATTAATTTATTTGGAATGCCAGAAGAACACATTTTCCGTATCTGAACATATCCTTACGCTAAGTTGCGCTGCACTCGTTAGATTGTGTTGGTCATTATGGAAATGAGATGTTGCATCTGTGTTCTTTAATTTGCTCATTGTCAGTAAATCACCCGCAGAAATTTCCATACCCGTCGGCATTGTTTTGGAATTACGCTTTCGCACTAATTTGCCCTGTTTAGTAAATATGACCCTAAATTCTATATAAAATATATTGTGTATAAAATATGTATAATATTTAAAAAATATTGTATTGTAATATTATTGTAAAAATTTTAATATTGTATATTAAAATATTTAGAAAAAAATTTTGTATAAAAATGAACCCTTATATTTTAATTATGTATCCATTGTTTATTGTTTCTAAAACACTCACACAAAAGGAGTGAATCTATAATAAAAACTTCAAAAACTTGTTACTCATATATTTAATGATTTATAAAACATTGGCTCACTTTATAATGACAAGACAATTGAATTGAATTTTTTTTTTTTTTAAATAGATTATAAAATTTGTCAAAATCACAATATTATTGACCACAAATATAACTGTAGGGCAGAACAAAACATATTTAATTCTTTTGTTATCTAAATCAGTGACTACATATTTTAGTACATTTATTTAGTACATTGTTTTTTTTTTAAATTTATTTATTTATGAATGAATGAAACATAGGAAGAATACAATACAGGTTACAATTATTACAACAAGGAGACAATATATTATTTAAAAGTGACAGTACAGACATTTATAATATTACAAAAGATTTAAGATGTTGTTTAAATGCTGTTTTGAACTTTCTATTTATCAAAGTATCTTGAAAAAACGTATTATAGTTTCCACAAAAATATTAAGCAGCACAACTGTTTTTAACATTGATAATAATAATAATAATAAATGCTTCTTGAGCACTAAATATGCATATTAGAATGATTTCTGAAGGATCATGTGACACTGAATACTGGAGTAATGATGCTGAAAATTCAGCTTTGCATCAATTGAATAAATTACATTTTAAAATATTTGAACAGAAAACAGTTATTTTACATGGTAATAAAATATTATAATATTACTGTTTTTACTGTATTTTTGATCAAATAAATGCACAGTGTAGCTTCAAATCCGGTTGCAGTGCATACTTCTAATTTTCTTTTCCCTTTAAACAGACGGTTGAGTTGAAGAACCAGGATCAGCAGTGCTCCAAGAACGCCTCAACTCAGATGATCAAAATTGGCTGTTATGTGTCCAACATGGCGGACAAACTCATCACCCCAGGGACTTACATCACTGCAGGAGAATATCACAGCAAGAGACTGAGAGCTGTACGTGTGTTTGGAGGGGTTGAGAGGGAATTGTGTTCATTCTGTGCTTTTGCTGTTCATGACAAATGCTTGTATGTGTGTATATTTTCTTCAGGTCATTACACTACAGTCATATGTCAGGCGCTGGCTAGCCAGGTGTTTCACAGACAGCTTGAGACAGGCTAAAGTGCAGCATCTGGCATGGCTGGAAAATGAAAAGAGAAGGAAGAAAGAGGAGAAAGAGCAGCAGATCAGAGATGAATATCACCGCAGGATGAATCCGGAGTCAAAGGCAGACTTTGATCTGCTTTATAATGCCTTGAAAAGTGAGTAAGTGAGCGTTTGTGTAGTAACTAACTACAAGTAGCAATGCTACTAACTTAAAGGTGACGAGTACATTTTCCACACCACTAAAATCACCCCAGGAACTGCAAAAATAATGACTTTATTTTAATAACAGGTCTTCCTGAAAATCTGTGAACCACTGATAGTCCTCAAATTACTTATATTTGACTCAGTAACACATTATTGCACATTAAACTGTATTTTAACCTAGAAAAAAACCTCAGCTTTAACTACAATTTTCAGTAGGATGTCAATAGATTAGCTGCTCTCATAATAGCTTTTACAAGCTACTGCTTTTTTGGACGTATTATATGTTTGTGTGCAGCTTTTTAGTCAATAGTTGGGTTCAGTCGGTTCATGCAAATGAACTGACTATAACAAATTATTTACTGATTCATTTCAGTCCCTACACAGACTGACCTCTTTTTTTGAAGTATAATATTTTTAAATACTGTGTAGACCATCATTATAGTTTGGGCTCAGTTTTTATTTATTTATTTATTTATATATATATATATAAAAAAAAAAAAAAGTAATACTTTTATGCAGCAAGGATACATTAGATTGATAAAAAAGGGAGAGTAAAGACATTTATAATGTTACAAAAAACTATATTTAAAATAAATGTTTTTTCCCCCCAACTTTCTATTCATCAGAACAATTCTGAAAAAAAAAAAAAGTGTTTCCACAAAATTATTAAGCAGCACATTTCAGAAAAGAAATGTTTCTTGAGCAGCAAATCAGCATATTAGAATGATTTGTGAAGGATCACGTGGCACTGAAGACTGGAGTAACAATGCTGAAAATTCAGCTTTTTATCACAGGAATAAATTACATTTTGAAATATATTAAAACAGAAATTAATTGTAATAATGTTTCACAATATTAGGGTTTCTACTGTATTTTTTTATTAAATAAATGCCGCCTTGGTGAGCATAAAGGAATTATTTTAAAAACAAAAAAAATCTTACTGACTCTAAACTTTTTAACTTATTGTTTTTGGAATGAATTTATCTATAAGTCACTGGCAAATGAGTTAAATAATATAATCTGATATTTATATATTTGTTTTTGTATTCTTTCTTTCTTTCTTTAAATTGCTTTGCTGTGGATGACTACATTGTAGTTGGTATGATATATTTACTGAGATGGAGATATCCTGTATATGTGTTGATTTGATTTGGATATAAGTTAGTGTGATGGTTCTCATTCTTTATCTCTGTGTGTCAGAATGGAGGATAGAGGAAGTGGAACACGTCAATGTCACTTTATCTGGTGCGGAGAGAAAGGCAGCGCTGTGCGCTCTACTGGAGCAAGAGACCCAGTTCATCTCCTCCATAGAACGGCACAGAATGGCTGCAGGCACAAGGAACCAGGATAAGACCATACAAGCCTTCCTCAACAAGGTGTCTTATCTTTGCTAATCGGCTGTCTCGTCATGAGCATGCACTATTGCTTAGAGCGAAACCTTTGCTTGTTCACAGTGCATTAAAGGAGGAATTCTGAGATTAAATTCTGCATTAAAACATTTAAAATGGGTTTAAAATGTATTTAAATTTTAGGATTTTATAAATGATAAATCTGCATGGCAGGAGATTCATTTGGTTTAGAATTTTGAAGATTGCTGATTCATAACTTTTCTCCATTGTGTCCTTCACCTAATGTTGCTATGGTAGAAATGTCAGAGTAATAAAATGCATTGAACGTCACTTTGTGACAAGTGGCTAATGATAACTAACTGATAATATGCTAGATCAAAAGTCAGAACAGACTTTTTTTATATTTTATGTTACCTCCTCTATAGCAGTGGTTTTTGAACTCTTTTTGCTTCATGACCCAGACTTTACATTGGGCATAAGTAAACAAAAATGTCCTTGAAATGTATTAATGAATTTAATACATTTTATATTAATATAAATATGAATTTATAAATTAACTGCATAGGTGCAAAACATGTTTATACAATGATAATATCATTCTATATATTATTATAATTTGTTGTAATCCTTTAAAGAAATCTCTGCTAAAAGCAAAAAAACAAAGAAATTGCAAAGACTATTTTGTATGACTTCTTCTCAGTGTGCAGAACCAAAGAAATGGCGTGCATTTGATGGGAAGGTGACACAGATGGACACGCAGTTCACCATCAGAGCCAAGGAGCTGCGAGACCTTTACAGTAGCATCACCCAGGCTCAGTTCACAAACGACGAACGTCTGGATGTGCTTCTCACTCTCAAACACACCGTAAAGGTCAGTTCCAAATCTGTAGTCCAAAACATGGTCAAAATATAAACCCTTTTCTAGAAGCATATATTTGCTCGTCTCATTTTTAAAATGTTCTTGTGAACAGGAACATAAATGCAAGCTAACACAGGATATAGTGGACTTGATTGACAGGGAGGTGGACCTGCTGATGAGGGGCGTTAAAAAAAGCAACCTGGAGGGGTTGAGGAAGAGGATAGCCTCCCTCTTTCTCCAGTACATCAAAACCCCTGCGTTCAACCCTCAGGTGTCCACATTTCTGTGGGTATGTGGCAAAAGCAGTGTTGTAGTCGAAACTAGCTTTTTCGAGCTCGAGTCAAGACCGAGATCAGAAGAGGGTTAAGTCTGAGTTAAGACCAAGTCCTCATGCTCCCATGTTCATGACATAAAGCAATATATTGGTCTTGGTCCTAATGTCCAAGTCCAAGACGATATTGTCATGGTCTTGGTCTGGATCCTTGAGTCCGAGTCCAAGATCATATTTTATGGTCCTGCTCCTTGAGTTAGAATCCAAGACCATATTTTCATGGTGTTGGTCTTGGTCCTTGAGTCTGAATCCAAGATGATATTTTCAGTGTCTTGGTCCTTGAATCGAGTCCTAGACAATTTTTTAGGGTTCTTGTCAATGAGTCTGATTCCAAGACCATATTTTCATGGTTGTTGGTCTTGTTCCTCGAGTCTGAATTCAAGACCATATTTTCATGGTCTTGGTCCTTAAGTCCAAGACCATATTTTCCTCATCTTGGAACATACAGTATATTCATGGTGTTGTTCTTCGTCCTTAAGTCTGTATCTTTATGGTCTTGGACTCAGTCTTGACTTGGACTCGAATTAGCGGTTTATGACTACAACACTGAGCTAAACTTCACCCTATACATCAAAGTGAGTGTGATGTTAGCTGTTAGGTCTGTAAACAACTTCCAGTTCTAAAGACACTTCAATACAACAAGTTTTGGTTGGTCATCTAACTCTTTGAAACCAACTTCATTATTTACCCTGCTCTCCACAGGTGCCTCAGGATCCTGCTGACCTGAAAAAGAACATCTATTTGTGTCGTGGCTGTAATGAGTATCAGTCATCCACTGACTTTGCTCTGAAGACAAACGCATCTTCGGTTGGCCTCTGTCGCCGCTGTATGGATTTAGACAATGAGGCTCGTCGAAGAGAAGACTTCTCTCTTTACAAGAACATTCTCATGTGCTTGCGTGAATCTGAGGCCGAGTGCAGCCCAGAAGCCAAAATCACTTACCTGCTACAGGTAACGTTTATTCATTCATTAATCATTTCAAGCGTATGGAAAGAGCCATGTCAGTTTTGGCAAAACCTGCCTTTTTTCCTTCACTTGTTGTGACACATCACATGAAATTATTCTATATAAACAAATGATGCATGTCTTAAAGGGATAGTTCACCCAAAAATTAAAATTCTGTCATTAATTACTCGCCCTCATGTGGTTCCAAACTCGTAAGACCTTCCAGGGTGTCCGCGGGTTCTTAAAAAGTATTAAAAGTTGATAAATTAATTTAGAGAAAATTAAGGCCCTTAAAAAGTATTTAAAAGTCTTAAATGCCATTTTCCAAGGTATTAAATTTTGTATCATCTTTTCATTATGTATATTTGTCCGAATAGTGGGGTTCTGTGTAGTTTATTTATGGAATCCCGCAAGATTTGACGTCATCTGTTACAGCGCTCACTGACTGACTGCACTGCTGCATGATAACGTGGGACTTGTTGATCCCACTCTCGCTGAATTTCTGACCATTACCGCATGCTTCCATCCGCTCCCGCGATTTTTGCGTCCGCTCCCACAAACATTCTAATTATCAATATGTGGGGTATTTAAATCCCTTTTGAATGAGCGCTCGCAGTCGCAGTTCACTTTCACTTTCGCGATCGTGCGCGCACTGTGTAAAGGGAGCACATCTTACGATAAAAGATATTTATCAATGAGCTCGTGATCAGTCAAATCTGACTTCTGCAGCTTGTGTTGGATGCAGGGTTGTTGTTATTTTTTTTCCACGAAATTGGGCTGCTTTTAAACTGTTGCCATGGGTTGATTTTCCCCAGTGGGTTAAAGGTTTGAACTCCATGATTCCTGTAAATACCCTGACCTTTGTTCATCTTCAGAACACAAATTAAGGTATTTTTGATGAAATCCGAGAGCTTTCTGACCCTGCATAGACAGCAACACAACTGACACGTTCAAGGCCCAGAAAGATAGTAAAGACATCGTTAAAATAGTCCATGTGACATCAGTGGTTCAACCATGCGTTGTGATACTCTCGTGAATGCGCGTCGAAGACTGACCAGGAAGAGAAGAAATAGTTGAATAAAGTCGTTTTTTTTTTTTCTTTGCACACAAAAATTATTCTCGTAGCTTCATAAAATTAAGGTTGAACCACTGATGTCACATGGACTATTTTAACAATGGTCCTTACTACCTTTCTGGGTCTTGAACGTGCCAGTTCCATTGCCGTCTATGGAGGGTCAGAATGAAAGCTTTCAGATTTCATCAAAAATATCTGAATTTGTGTTCCAAAGATGAACAAAGGTCTTATGGGTTTGGAACAACATGAGGGTGAGTGATTAATGAGTTTGGAAGTATTATGCCTCTGTTTATTAAATTGTCAAAGACACTATTGGTCATGTGATTTTAACATGGCTGCCACCATCAGGATGGACCACCGTAAAGTAGAATAAAACAACTTTTTCTACGTTTTTTTTTTGAACAATCTGTTTATTGAGATGTAACACTATATAACAGTAATACAACAATATTGTAGTTACATCTTTTTTACATATATGAAAACAGTAACAAACAAGAAAAAGAAAAAACTTGTTTTAAGTTACTGCAGTTCTCTGTACAATCTCATGCTAGTCTACATGATTTTAAACATATCAGTCAAATGTGCTATTAATTTCTTTTGGTGGAGAATGCGGGAATAAAATCCCATAGTCCGCCTTTAAGAAGAATAGTACACCAAGTTCATGCTGTGTTCAAGACATTCCCTGTCCTCATTAGGAGCAGGACCTGCGGTACCTGGTGGATGTGCTGTGGGGGGCTCAGTCTGCTTTGAGTGGCTGGAAAGACCTTCATGATTTACTGCTGGTCCGGTGGGAGAAGCATTTGGACTGGAGCCCATGGAACTGCATCCTACTTACAAAGGACGAGGCGGCTGCACATCTCAAACTGGAGAACATCGAGAAGGTACTGCAGCCACTTCTGCTCTTGAATGAATGGTTTTCTTTACACTGAAATAAATGATTAACCTCAAATATTCAAGCAATATTGCACTAATCTAAGTACCAAGTAGAGCTACAGAATAAAATGGCAGAATAAAAAACTTTTGCAGAATAATGTAATGTATAACCAGGCTTTAGTCAACAAATATAAAGGATTACATCTAGCAGAACTTCAAAATAATGACTATCAACTCTTGCAAATCTCATTTCTAGACATGTAATGCATTTACAGAACACATTTGTCTCTCCCACCACTTGAGAGCAACGCCATTCGTTCCGCCCTACAAATGTCCGCTGTTTTCACTTGCAGGCATACGATGTGGTAGTTATCCGTAACGTCAAGCAGAAACACGCATTGGCCAGGAAGTACTTCTCCCAGATTCCTGCAATGGCCGAATGTCTGCACGACGCTGAGATTCAGCCTGCTGCCCTCAGCAACCTGCTGGTCTCCAAACCCATCACCAATGCAACCAAGTAGAATCGCTAAGAGGCAACCCACAATCCTGCGGGGCGCTCAGGGAAATCTGCAGCTTCACTATTTGTGGGCAGTAAAGTATAGAGATCTAAAACCTTATTAAGAGTCCTTCTTCAAGATCATTTATCGAATTTGAATATCGTATATGTTAATTAAAACCGTGAGTAGCTGGGCCGTTTTTTTGTCTCTACTCCATTGCACTTTGCAATTTGGCCTGATCATTAAAAGTCTTTCGCTTCTCGCTGCTTTGCTTTCCATTCATTAGGATCATTCATTAATGCTAATTACTTATTATTTGGCAGTAATTAAGAAAGAAGTTTTTATTTTATTTTCAACTTCATTGGTATTTTGTAAAATAATAATTGGTAAAAAGAGCAGCATAACTACAGTCCTGTGAAAAATGCGGCATTACCATGTTATGAGTCTTGAGTACAAAGCTATATAAAATAATTGAGATTAGACTGACAAAAAAGTAGATTATCCCTCCATGATTGCTCCGTACAAGAATGTATTACAAAATGAAGGTGTCATGTCAGTCTTATGCACACCCCTTCAAGTAAAGTGTAACCCAAAGTTATTTCCGGGAACACTTCGGAAGCCTGAAAAGCACAAGTTGAAGAGGTTTTAATTAGACCTTTGCAAATGATATATAGCCTAGATCTAATCAGGAGGTGAGCAATCTAAGATCTGCAATTATAGGAAAAGGTCAAGAACCTCCTCCTGTGTCTCCTTTTGAACAAATGTGACCGAAACCACCAGCACCACAGGACTCCATTAGGTAAGTTTATATGCTGTGCTTAATAAAATGAGTTTTTATTAAGAGATTTGGCTTATCATCATGTTCCTTGGCACTGGCCCTATCACTGTCATTCTGTGATCCCATAAGGAACATTAATGACACTTAGTTGAACTTCAAAAATAGATTGAACGTGATAACAAAAATGCAGCTAATAGGGAGGAGAACATTTGAAAAACAAGTTATGTTACAAAGGATTAAATGGTGAATTTATTAGGTGTTGATGGTAGTAGAGATGCAGATGCTTTTTGCTGAATATAAGAGGAACTTCAGCATTTTTATAAGAATTAAATAAGAAAAGGTGTTTGTGGGTTCCAGGGTTTTTAAGAACTGTAATGGCTACTACTGTAATCCTTTAAATCGGTAACAAAGAAAACACTTCTGTTTGCTGAAATGGAGGTATTATGGAAAACTTGGTGGGCCCTGAGAGCAACATTTTTTTAAGGTTATTGTTTGATCTAACTGTTTGTGTTTGAATAAAGTAAGTCAAAGGTAAATCAAGATTTTCTCTATTATTGTTCCCACCAGTATTGTGCAATCTTTTGTAATCTTTGGACGCTGGAAAAATGCTTTGATGTTTTATAATGCTCATATTGATAACTAATTTGTGGAGTTTTATGTAATCTCTGATAGAGCTGTTCTGTTTGTTCCTTGAGGGAGCTTGAGGATTGCGATTAATGTGTAATAGTGCAGACAGGATGAAGTGAGTGTTCTGTCCAAGTTATCCAATGATATTTCAAGGAAACACCATTCTGCATTTCAAATCCTTGGTAATCCTGACTGCGAAATGACAATTGTAAAGGGAGGTCATGAAGATATAACTTCAACAGCATCAACTAACCTCAACACCTTCAGACAGATTTGACATTACAGCCGGTCATAGGCCAGCTCTTTGTGACTTTTTCCATTGGATTCACAAATTTTCCATTGCCACATTTTATGATTCACAAAGTTATGGAAGCCTTTTCTGTCTCAGGAAAAAATAAAAGATACAGATAAAAATAAGAAATAGTAAAAAAATAATGTAAAAAAAATAAAAAAAACAGTAAGAAAATTAACAATAGTAAGAAATAAAGTTGCAGTTACCGGATAAAGTCACAATTTTGAAATGTAAAGTAGAAATTACAAGAAATAAATTAACAGTTTTGTGACAAGTAAGGTCTAATATATACTGTATAGTCACAATTAGAGAAAATAAAGATGGAATTGTTTCAAATTAATTGTGTGAGGTAAAGTTGCAGTTACAATACAGTTACAATTATGAGATATAAATTTGCAATTGCATTTTGTAGTGTAGTGTAGTGTAGTCACAATTTTTTAGTATAGTAGAAAATACAAGAATTTGTCATCAAAAAATAAGTCTCAATTGTAGGATGGAAAGTTGCAATTGTAAAATGCAAAGGCACGATTATGAGAAATCAATTTTAAAGAAAAAAAAAAGTGTTTGGAATTAAATAACAATTGTGAGTTGTGAAGCTGTGATTACAAGAGAGTTGCAATTACAAGATATAAATTCGTAATTATGAGAAAAAATGGCAGTTGTGGGATAAAATCACAATTTTGAAATGTAAAGTAGCGAACACAATAACTAAATTTGCAATTATAGGAAATAAAGTCACAAAAAAAAAAAAGTCAGAATTGTTTAGAATTAAATAACAATTGTGCGATGTGAGGTTGTGATTTTAAGAGTCGCAATTACAAGATATTCGCAATTGTGACCCTGGACCACAAAACCAGTCATAAGTAGCACGGGTATATTTGTAGCAATAGCCAAAAAGACATTGTATGGGTCAAGATTATTTGTCTTTTATGCCAAAAATCATTAGGATATTAAGTAAAGCAGCCACAGCCAGTCTGATTTAGACATGGAGTGGTTTTTTTTTAATTTAATTTAATTTAATTTTTTTATTTTTTTTTGCACCCTTAGATTCCAGATATTCTAATAGTTGTATCTCGGCCAAATATTGTTCTATCCTAACAAACCATACATCAATGGAAAGCTTATTTATTCAGCTTTCAGATGTTGTATAGATCTAAATTTCGAGAAAAAAAATTTACTCTTATGACTGGTTTTGTGCTCCTGGGTCACAATTAAGAAAAAAAATTGCAGTTGCACGATATAAAGTCACAAATTAAAAATACAATATCAAAATTTTATTTATTTAGTTTTTCTGCAAGCCTTAAATGGACTTCCATACAAACTTGGGGGCATTACAGTGAAAACTTGAAATAATAGTTTACATATTTCTTTTCATTTCAGTGTTTTTTTAAAAAACTTTTTTCTTTTCATATTTCCATAAATATTTCTCTCTGATCTAATTCTTTGGAAACAAGCTTCAGCACGGATTATTGCCTGCTGTGTGATTTCTGAGAGTTTGTGTTTATGAAGTCTCCCAGGTTGTTGTTTAACAGACCCCTGCGCGGTGCCAGATTAGGGCCCAATAAGGGAAACGGCGATGACGTTAGCTGTTAGGAGAAAAAAGTGTGAATTCCCAGGTCATTGTCTGTGGCAATGTCTCATGTGCTCTTGATTTTATAACCTTGTATGCAAATTTGTTGTTAACTTTGGTCATAAAATGTAAAAAATAAATAGGTTAGAAGGGACTTGCATGAGGTATGACTGGTGGGAGTCTAATCTTAAAGCTTAATCTCCATGGCCATAAGGCTTTATGACATGCCTGGAATGGACCAGTAACAGTGGATGCGGATGGCACCAGGGCAAAGATTAATCAGCGGCACATTATTTAAAGGCCATCATAAGACAAAGTCCCAGAGTTGACTCCGTTTCGGCCACAAGATGAGGCGGCTTAGATGTTCTTGGAGCTCCTTGAAACCCCTAATCATCATCATCTCACCGCTGGCTTTGCTACCGCTGCCACTGGTCATCAGAAAAAAGGTTAGATATGCTACAAACACACATGGAGATCTGAATGAAAATAATGTGAAAATTAATTTTCGTTAAGAGTAAAACTAATGTAATTAAGTCTTTTCTTTGAGTATCTAAAACAATTGTACAGTATATTTTCTGAAATACTTTAATGAATACTGAAATGTCTTTAACAATTATTTTGTCTTTTGCTCTCACTTTTTTTGTAAAAATACATTTCGATAGACATATTTTTTTGGCCAAGACAAAGACATTCTTTCCAAGAAAAATGAAAAAGATGCTGATTTCAGTTTCTTCAGTCCTTTTTGTGTTACTGGATATCAACCCTGATATCATTTCCACTAGGAAGCAGAATGTGCGTATATCCTAATATTAATGGCTGTATACTGGATGACGGAGGTCTTGCCTCTGTCTGTGACGGCACTTCTCCCCGCGCTGCTTTTCCCTCTTTTTGGGATCATGAAGTCCTCACAGGTACACTTTCCAGAACTGGCCATTTTACTCTTGGAAAACAATCCTATCTAGAAATCTGACTGCAGTATTTCCAGACTTCTAAAGGATAGCTACTGACCGACAGTCTTTCTTTAGGTTGCATCTGTATATTTCAAAGACTTCCACTTGTTGCTTCTTGGTGTCATCTGTTTAGCAACATCCATTGAGAAATGGGGTCTTCATCGGAGAATTGCCCTCAGACTGGTGACTGGACTTGGAGTCAATCCTGGCATGTAAGGCTGATTTTATTTTATTAAGATTTCTGATGTGTTGTGATGAATCATAGTAGGATGGACCGAGTTAAATCTGCTTGTTTACTGTGAAATGTGTTTCACAGGTTGATGCTCGGGTTCATGGTTGGCTGTGCTTTCCTCTCCATGTGGCTGAGCAACACCTCAACTGTGGCGATGGTAATGCCAATTGTGGAGGCAGTGATCCAGCAGGTTTTGAATGCAAGTGAAGAGGCCAGGAAAGACCACAAGGGGGAGTTAAATGGCATCTCCAACCCTGCTCTTCAGCTTGAAGGTAACATGAAAGCTCCGTGCTTTAACATGAGCAATAAATAATCATTTCAACCTTTAACCTTTTAGAGCTGTGCAGCATTTAATTATTAAACATCTGTTTTCAGATATTGAGGCCCAGCATGACCAATCTGAGAACATAAAAAGGTGAACATATGTAAAATGAACAAAAAGGTACCTGATTGAAAACAATTGATTTTTAAGACTGAATGAGATTTTGTGTGCACTTACAGCATCGAAGCAGGGATTACACAGACAGTTCAGACAGCTCCCGACGAACCAGAAACTGTTAAGGTCAGTAAAAAAAAAGACACAATCTGACATTAAAATGCACAAAATGCGTCTCCTTGCCTTTCCGATAAAATGGGATTTCTCAATATTTGTTAGGCGCCTCCACCATATAATGGAAAGTACAGGACCCGTGAAGATCACATGATGTGCAAAGGCTTGTCGCTTTGCATTGCTTACTCC